ATCTCTGACCGCAGACTGCGGGGTATCACGAGTAACCACTGCCGGCCGTCGGCGTCGTAATTGCGTCGGTGTAGGAGGCCGTCACGAATGGCGAAATGGCGAGCTTGACGACGCAATGCACGCGTGGATGGCGTTGCGGATGGGTCAGAGAGCATGTCGATGAGCGGGCCGATCCAATTATCCTTTCGCTGTTCGGTAGCGATAATGTCAACATCAATGGCAGAAACAGCAGCCGAGGATACTGAGCAGAGCACATCACCTTCAGGCAGAGGGGAGCGCGAGAGGGCGTCGGCGTCAGCATGCTGGCGTCCGTTGCGGTACAGCACGCGGATATCGTAGTCTTGTAAGCGAAGAGCCCAACGGGCGAGACGGCCTGAGGGATCCTTCAATGATGAAAGCCAGCATAGTGCATGATGGTCGGTGACGACATCGAATGGGCGACCATACAAATAAGGTCGAAACTTTGTAAGAGCCCAGACGATCGCCAGGCACTCTTTCTCCGTGACGGTGTAGTTTTTCTCGGCTCTCGTGAGCGTACGGCTTGCATATGCTACGACATATTCAGGGAATCCGGGTTTTCGCTGTGCCAGGACAGCGCCGAGGCCTACTCCGCTGGCGTCCGTGTGCACCTCCGTTGGGGCTGTAGGGTCGTAGTGGCGTAGAATGGGAGGCGACGTCAACAAATGGCGGAGCTTCGCGAACGCGTCGTCGCACTCGGATGACCACGAATTGAAGGGCCCGTTGCTTCCAAGGAGCTTCGTCAGCGGTGATATGATCGTGGCGAAATTTCGTATGAAGCGTCGGAAGTATGAGCACAGGCCCACGAAACTACGCAGTTCTTTGACAGATGCAGGTTTGGGGAATTCGGCCACGGCCTGAAGCTTGGCAGGATCAGGAAGAATGCCGTCTTTGGACACGACGTACCCCAGTATGGTAAGTTGCCGTGCTGCAAAGCGGCACTTTTTCAGATTTAGTTGTAAGCCAGCATTGCTCACACGTGCGAAAACTTCTTTCAGACGTTGGAGATGCGTGGAGAAATCCGGAGCAAAGACAATGACATCGTCGAGGTAACACAAGCACGTGTACCATTTCAAGTTGCGCAGAATGGTGTCCATCATGCGCTCAAAGGTCGCAGGTGCATTACATAGACCAAACGGCATGACGTTAAACTCGTACAAGCCGTCTGGCGTGACGAAGGCGGTCTTTGGTCGAGCGTCGTCAGCCATGGGTACTTGCCAGTACCCCGAGCGCAGATCGAGAGAAGAAAAAAATCGGCTCCATGAAGGCTGTCAATCGCGTCATCGATGCGTGGCAGTGGATAAACATCCTTGCGAGTGATCTTATTGAGCCGTCTGTAGTCTACACAGAACCGCACAGAACCGTCTTTCTTCGCAACAAGAACAACAGGAGACGCCCATGGACTGTCGGAGGGCCGAATAACGTCGCGTCGGAGCATATCGTCAACCTGATCATTAATTACTCGACGTTCAGCAGGCGACACGCGATATGGACGTTGCCGTAAAGGTGGATGGTCACCAGTGTCGATGCGATGCGTAACAACGGACGTGCGACCGAGAGAAGTTCGCCCGACATCGAAAGAAGAACGATATTCTTGTAACAGGTCCAGAAGTTGGGAACGCTGTACGGCCGTAAGGTTGTCAGCGATGGAGGGGCCAAATACATCAGCAGACGACGAATCAGAAGAGGAAACAGCATTGATGGTACACGACCTGGGAGCGCGCGTGTCATCGGGTACGTCCAGGACTTGTGCGTCGTCGACTGGTTCCACTCTGCCGAGACATTCCCCTCGAAGCAAGGTAACAGCGTACGGGAACGGGTTGGTTACAAAAATAGCAGTGTTGCCCTGGTTGACCTGCACGGTCGCGAAATGTACTAGCAACCCTTTCCTGCTGCAAGCGCGGTCAGATGGCGAAACAAGTCCAATGGTGTCGGAGAGACCAGCGCAGTAGACAGACACAGCCGTCGTCGAGTTTGGAGGCACTGTTGTATCGTCTCTCGTTAGAATCTTGCTCAGTGTCGGGGGACTGTCTTCTGGCGTCAAATGCGAGAAGGGTGAGAGCTCAATTTCGGCAGCGGCACAATGGATGACGGCGTCATGGCGGGAGAGAAAGTCCCATCCCAGGATGACGTCATGAGAGCATGCCTGAATGACGATGAACTGGGCGACATACAGAACGTCCTGGATGACAACGCGAGCTGTGCACCCTGCTGTAGGATGAATCCGGTGCAAACTCGCAGTACGAAGGGATAACCCAGAAAGTGGCGTCGTCACTTTTCGAAGTAAGCGGCAGAGTTTTTCGTCCATAACTGATACGGCAGCTCCAGTGTCAATAAGAGCCGATGCACAAACACCGTCCACAAGCACGTCAATGACATTCGAGGGGCTGCTCTGAGGGCTTTCACATTGCGATAGCGTCGCAGTCCTTGCCTCAGGGACTGCGACGACTAGGTTTCCCGCTCATGAGATGCCGCACTTGGCCGCATGGGAGACAGGGAACGGCGTCGTGGAGACGGTGATCTTCGAGATGGACCTGGGCGAGATCGAGGGGGCATAGACGGCGGTTCTTCGCGATAAGGACGGCTGAGTTGGCCAGCAACAGGTGAAGAAATTGGAGCCGGCTGTACGCGATGGCAATAACGGGCCACGTGACCGGCGTAACCGCAGGCAAAGCAGATGGGCCGGTTGTCGGGTGTGCGCCATCTGTTCACCGGGGTAGGTCTCACCCATGTCGCAAGGGCTGATGGACGGAACGGTGGCTGCATGGTGGACTGAAGCTGAGGCTGAGGGGTTACGTCAACATACGTAGCGGGCATACCCGCTGCAACGGACGGAGGTCGTGCAGCAGCTTCAGCGTAGGTCAGAGGGGCGGGTGCTTGAACGACTTGGGGTGGCCTGGCGACCACTTGCGCGTAACTCAGGGACGCAGGAGCCGGAGGCTGTTGGGGGTGGTAAGCAGGCATTACCTCCGCTATTTCCTGTTCAATCGCTCGGCGAATGGGAGGGAGAAGGGTAGTAGCCGATTGTTGAACAGCAGGTTGGTGGGAAAAGGGCAGGAGGGAGAACTGACGCGCGATTTCCTCACGGATAAAGGACTTCAGTTCTGCCATCAACGCCACTTGGTCACAACTGGCCTCCAAGCCAGCAAGCGTTGTAGCTCGTGGTGGGGAGCGTCGGGTCATCGAACGCTGCCGGTGGAGCTCCTCGTAGCTCTGGCACAGTGTGATGATCTCAGCCACCGTGCCGGGGTTTTTGGCGAGCAGCATCGTGAAGGCATCATCGTCGATGCCTTTCATGATGTTTCGGATCTTGTCAGACTCGGACATGGTGTGATTGGATTTGTTGCATAGGTCCAGGACATCTTCAATATAGCTGGTGAATGACTCACCAGCCTCCTGAGCACGTTCACGCAAGCGCTGCTCGGCTTGCAGCTTGCGAACAGCAGGGCGGACGAAGACGTTGACGATTGCGGTCTTGAAATCGGACCAGGTGGCAAAATCGGACGCGTGGTTGTTGTACCACAAACTGGCGACACCGGCAAGGTAAAACACCAAGTTTGTCAGCTTGCCGTCCTCGTCCCATTTGTTGGGGACGCTCACGCGGTCGTAAATGGCGAGCCAGTCCTCCACGTCAGTGCCATCAGCGCCAGTGAAGATGGGTGGATCGCGGATTCTGGGGACACCGGGACAAGGGGGTGGCATCGGAGGAGGCGTTTGCTGAGAAGCGTCTTGGTACATAGTAGATGGCAGGGTACGTGATCGTAGCTCCAAAGGCATAGACAGGGATCGCAGCACTCTCCACCAAATTGTTAAGGCGTTTATTAGCCGGCAACGAGCGAGAATATGCAATGGCGACAGTCACAGCAAAGCACGGGCTCTCAGCGCGAGCGGCGTCCTTGTTGGGTAGCCCCACTAGAAGGTACGCAAGAGTTCGACCCATTTCATAGTTCGGAGGCTTCGCTACAATATATATATATATATATATATATATATATATATTATATATATATATATATATATATATATATATATATATATATATATATATATATATATATATATATATATATATATATATATATATATATATATATATATGTGGGAAAGAAGTGTAAGGGCTCGTTTATTCGTGTTTTGACACAATATTAATGAGATCCAACAGACAATAATGCCAAGGAAGGTATAGGGGAAGTTATTAGGCCAATTGTAATGTAAATGAGAAGAAAGAAAAGTGGGTAAAAAGATAACTTGCCGTGGGCAGGATCCGAACCTGCGACCTTCGAATAACGCGTTCGATGCTCTACCACTGAGCTACCACGACAGCTATCCCCCAGCCACTTTATTGGGTATCTATGTGAAGTTAAACGTGGGAGTATCATTCAGCGCCACCTGTAGCCATGGAAGCGAGTGTGGCACACTCTTTATGAGCCGGTTTGGCGTCACGTAGCACGTGAACTTAATACGAGCTGGCAGCTGACCAGTGGTCCCTTCATGTGCGCGCGTCTCCGTGTACATGGAGACGCGCGCACATGAAGGCTCTCTATATTTGCGGTTATTTATAAAAAAAACGTGACTGGACACAAATTGATGAAAATTCGTGGTGACAGGCTGCTTGTAACTTTGCAGTTGTCGATTTCGCCGTAGTAGTTCATCACAAAAAACCGGGAAGCCGTGATGGTGCACTTTGGCTGCAAATTCAATCGAGGTATATATTTTTATTTCAGGCCATCGTTACTCTAATATAGCGCATCCGCGCCAAATCACGGGTTATTAGAAAATGTGCACGCGTTTGTACATTTCAGTGGAAACACTGAAGGAAGCCGAAGAGCGTCGTGGAAGCAATTGCTCACTACCTAGTGCGGACTTATCGTTCCGCGAAGTTTTTAAACGAGCAAGGTGTCATCGCGCATCACGTACTTAGGCGTTGCCGTCATTTCCGCAAAATTACGCGCATCGGAACTGTTGTCACGTAATACGCTTACCCTTGACTAGAAGCTGCGAGCTCGCACTGTCCGATCCGGCGACGTTACTGACGGCGCACGTGTAGTTGCCGATGTCCTCGGCTCCCACATCCGTGATGGTCAGCGATGACAGCGTCTCCGAATGCTGCTGCACGTGAAGTCTGTGGGCGTCCTGCACTGGCAAGCCGTCCTTCGTCCAGACAAATTTCAGCGGCTCCGTACCCTCGAGTACGGCACAGTGAACGATGACTTTCTTCGGCATCGCTTTGGTCGACGGAAAGCTGAAAGGTTGTACCTTAGGCGGTTCGACTGAAAGCAACGGCATAGCGTTCAGACACATTGGCCGCTTGCTTATGTAGGAAACTGCATATCTGCAGTGCTCTCACCTGATTGTCCGTGACACGTGCAAGCGAATACTACCACCGAGGTGGTTGTGATTAAGCCACTGAAAATGCAGCGCACCATTGCCTCCTTAACTGGTTTGACCATCCTGAAGCTTCCTTGGCAGCGGCCTGACATGTACTGACGGGAAAACATCTTTCTGCTCTGCATTCGAGAAGTGGCAAGTTGGGGTTTGGGCGCGCCGTGGACAACTAGCGCCACTTGACGGCGATATTTAGAACGAATACGTCACTGTGTGTCCCGTTGTGCGCGCAGAGTGGCGGCAGTTTGGGCTCTACTTTCTCTGCCGACGAGATGAGGGCGCTGCCAATTTTGAAAAGTACGTAAAGCCGCATCATTTCTGTGAGCATAAGCAATTGATTCATTCTTGTGCACTGGTCGGGGAAAATTCTGTAGCTCGCTCAGAATCGCGCATGAAATATAGTTTGCGCGTAAGACTCACTCGGAGTCGACCAGTGAGTTCGTTAGTCTAGAATTAGCTTTTTTAATCACGGTTTCAATGCTTTATTAACACCGATTTCTCGCGCAATCGGAGCTCCTGGCGCCTTTGGATCAAAACATTCGAATATGAGTTATGGGTGGTTGCAAACCAGCAATGACATTTTTTGGGGGGCGGGGGGGAAGGGGAGGCAACATAAGATATTTATTCAAGAATACCCCAGAAGAGTTGGCGGGTGCAGGGGGGGGGTGTAAAGGCACCCTCCTTCACGTAATTCGCGCCAGTGATCAATAAATATTGACATTTGAATATTTATCGATCACACGAGCGATACCGCTTTGAAGTACTTGCGAGTATACGCGCGAGTATAAACATGAAGCCAGGTAAGGCTCATAGAAATGGTGGAATTCGGTAGATAGGATCACTGGTCGGCAAACGTACGCGGAAATCCCTCAGATTCACTCAATAAATGTATTCTACGCTTTGGCATCACTCGGACTCAGACTCACGGAAGTTTTCCTGAAGCGGGCCCACACTCACTATTTTTTTTTCTTTACTAGAACTCGCTCGGACTTAAACTCACCAAAATATCACTTACCCAAACTCACTCGGGCTTGCGGCTCGGCCTGAGTGAGTTCGCCGACCTATGTTCCTGTGACGTGAGTTTGTCGATATTTCGTAGGTACATTGCAGTGTGATGCGTTTTTCGAAAGATGTCACTATACAATATGGTTTTCAGTGGAGTCCGCATTGCATCACAACTAAGGTTTCACCAGCAGAACAGTAATAGTAATATTCAATGGCCCTTTTGAATGAAATTCAGGAAATGTGGAAGATATATTGGTGGCAACACGAAAAAAAAATGTTTTACGGGGAAGAGTGTATGGCCTCAATGCGAATAGAAAAGGTGCAAAAACAAGAAAGAAAATGAAATAAAAAATAAAATAAAAGCAAGCGTATTGCAGTACTCTAGCATTCTTGACAGGAGACTGGAGAGCCTGGATTTTTCAAAAGAAAAAAAAAACGCAACGAGGACGTATCACGAACTGCTGCTGCAGGATTAACAGTACGTAATTCTATAATTAAAGCGTAGAAGCACGAGCGCTGCAGGTTTTGCGCATGCATCACTGTGCAACATTTTTCTACGCTTTATTCCCTTCATATAACATCGATAACCTACGCGACAGCAGATAAAAATGTCACGTCGAAATACAGCTGGCTTGAACGGCATTTGAAAGCTTACACCTCTCAATTTTGCGATGAACACATTTTATGATGTCACGCAGAGGGACAAATTTAAGAGAACACCGAGAGTGTCAGGAAGCTGAAATATCTGAGCTTATGTGAAGGTGACAGCACCTAACCAAAACTGCAGTATACAGTTCGAAACGTCATTTTGCCTTGTTGGCAGAAATCTTTGATAGATAAATATGACCCACCGGTTACTACGAGGTCCGCGGTGAACACGTCATTTCCGGCCTGGTTCGACACCCGACAGGTGTAGCTGCCGACGTCAGCTCCGGACACTTCGTGTATGATGAGTGTGGACATCTTGTCCAGAGGATTCTTCACTTCGAACTTTGATCCACCTGTCAATCTTTTTCCATTTTTGAGCCACTCGAACTTCAGTGGCAGAGCGCCCTCTGTGGCGAAGCACGTCACGGTCACGTCTTTTCCGGGTGACGGGTTCTTCGGAAAAGAAAACTGCTGTATTTTGGGCGATTCTGCAAAAAAGGACGGCGAGATGGTAGGGAGGAAACGGATTGCGACGAAGCTATGTGCTTGAGATTCGACGCTTGAGCCCTTGTGCATGCTTGGAGCTCAGAATAAATTGTGCTTTGGTTGTCGAGTGCGTGAGATTGGCTTACCGACGGAATGGCTGGAAGTTGTCTCCGTGCAGGCTATAGCCAGGAACATCAAGGCAGAGTGTAGCGGCGTCATGGTGGTAACCGCTCAGTAACGCAAACTCAAGCTGGCAAAACGTATCGGAAGCCGTTCAGGGAACAGGCGAAAGGAAAGGTCCGACCTGCGTTCTTAGCGTCCGCGTAAATGAATGGAGATCATTTTGGCAAGACAAGCCAGCGAGCCGTTTTATTCCCCCTGCGGAAAACTAGCGTCACCCAGCGGGCGAGTTGGGAACGACGTCCAGCGTGCGGTGGTTTTGAAACTACGAACGTCCACATCGGAACGTGACTGGTACTTTCATGTTCGAATGCGACACCACGTCTGAATACACGTTCAGCCACCGTTATTCGCGGTACAGCGTAGTATACTATAACGAAGTGCACTGCTCAAATGGCTGAAGGTTTGAGTTCGAGGTTGAGATATGTGAGCCGGTAGCTGCACTTGTGCCGAAGTTGAGTTTCCGACTACCGATACTAGCTGCAGTTACAAAGTATGCAAGTTCAATTGTGAACAACAAAGTTTGTCCGTTCTTCAAGACAAGTAATCACGCAGAATAAGCAAACTCGTTGAAAATCAACGAGATGCAGGAAGATAGCGTACAAATACAGTCATCATACTCTGTTTAAATAGAGAAACTTGCGATGCTAGCAGAAAAATTCTGTGTTAAACAGCTACTGTGATGATGTTATGCTAATTCAGTAAGTTTGTGCTGGGCGCTTCGAGTTGTCCCGCCGCGGTCGTTTGGTAGTATTGCTGCTGTTGCATTTGCTGACGAGGTCACGGGTTCGATTCCCATCGCGAGTTCTTCCTTTCGAAGTGGCGCGATACATAATGCTTATGTATTGACTTCGGTAAGAACGTTACTTCCAGTATGTTTCGTCCGCCATCATTTTCTACAACCTCTGTCCTGGCTCACATGCTCTTTAGGGGATGTTGAATACAAATAAATAACGAAATGATCGAATCAATAAATCATTCAGTATGGGATCGTGCACTGACCTTTAACGAGCAGCTCGGCGCTGTAACTGTCGCTGCCCACCGCGTTGGAAACGCGACACGTATAGTTGCCAACGTCTTCAGCGGTGACTTTCGGAATCGTTAGTGTCGAGAGTGTATCGGTGAGCAACCGGGGCGTCGCCCTGGTCCCCTCGTCCAATGAGCGGCCGTCCTTAAACCAGGTAAATTTCAGCGGGCGGCTTCCCCGAATGGCGATGCAGGACACCACGAGGGTTTCCAGCAGAGGATGATCCTTGGCAATCAACACGGGCTGCAGCTTGGGGGCTTCTGTTTAAGTGTATGTGCAAAAAGTTGCTAGATTACGTTCATCGGGTAGATACTACTTATTCTCCGAGCGTTACCTTGTGCTGATGCTTTAAGAAGAAGCAAGGATGCTCCAAATAGCCAGCCGAGACTCCAAGCCGAAGCAGACGCAGCCATCTCCACGGGCACCAGCTTCTTTCGTGGGGCGGTAAGCTTGTGACGCATACGGCGCTGATTGCCTCAAAGCGTATGCTTTTTTCCCGACGTAGACAGCTGGCGCCACACCGAGTCCAAAGCGGTAACTGCGTCGCCGGTGTGAAGCGGTGTTTTTGAAAAAGCGAGCCGGACAGGTTTTCTCTCTCCCTGGGATATTAAATATCGCGCGCAATAGGTATTGCGTTCGTTTTTCTAGTCTACGTCGTCAATTTACATTAGGCGCTAAGGACAAACTCCTTTTTGTCTCATAAAGGAAGTTCAGAAAAAATACTGAAATTCTGCATTTAAGGAAGGAAGGAAGGACTGCAAAAGAGAAGGCAGGGAGGTTAACCAGGCGCATTCGCGGTTTACTACCACGTGTATGAATGCACGCACACGTGCAAACGCGCGCACGAACATTAAATACTGTAGAATACGCCCTCCGCCCTCCCCGAAAATGTGTCTACTACGCCCCTGCTTCCTATACCGAACGTTCTGCATGTATGCCAAGGTAGTACGTAATCTGCGCACACGATCGTTGCGCTCGCTTGATGCAAGTTATATTCAATTGTCATAAACTACCAAATGTTCAGCGAAAATGATACGCAATTTTTAAAAGGACGCAAGAATCATGAGAGAGAGAGAAATATAGAGGAAAGGCAGGTAGGTTAGCCAAGCTTGGCTCGGTTGGCTACCCTACACTTGGGGGGGGGGAGGTGGAATAATAGAAAGGAAAGAGTTAGAAAAGAAGAGAAATAAGGACGAGAAGGATGATTAGTCAGCTCGAGACTACACAGCACGGTCTCACACTGTTCTTTCACAAGCGCTCGTGAAGTCTGGTGGTCCTCAAAAAAAAAGTACAAGAGGGCTTTTGTGGCATTGCGCGTATGCGAAGTCGGCGGCCAAGGTCCGAGGATCTTCTTTTCTGTAAGAGGTCACGAATCCAGCTGACGGAGCTTGGCTTCCATAATACGTCGTTCAGAATGGTATGCTTGGCAGTGGCATATAGAATGTGCACAAGCGTCTCCTCACAGGCGCAGGTAGGTAGGTATAAACTTTATTTTTCCTTTGTAAAGGAAAGGTGCAATGGAAGAGAGATGAGGAGAGATTGCTACGCTCGATAGTCCTCCGCAACCCTCTCTGCCCAACCCAGGATGGCCTCCTGGACGTCGGGTTTCAAGCTGCGCATGGCAGCCTCCCACTGCTCCTCATTACTAATTAGTTTTCGAAGGGACGGTGGAGGGGGGTGCTTAGGGCAAATGTTGCATGCTGAACTGCTCGCCATTCCAAAAAACAAGAATACGCATTCGTAAGTGACACGCCTGAGCTCATGCGGCACAGCAAAGTTTCAGTGCATCGTGGGAGCCCGGATGGCAAGCCAAGTAGCAAGTTTGGGTCGACAGAATACAGGTGTGCGTTGGAGAAACCCGGCGTATGCAATTTTAGGATAGCTATACGGCGAGCGTGTGATTGTAGTCGCCTTGCAGCGTCCGTTCTCAAGAGTGGTATGGGCGTGCACAGGTCTTGGTGAGGAGCCGATCGAGCAGCTTCACCCGCGTAGTCATTGTCGACAATTCCGCAATGACTCGGCAACAACTGAA